TTTTTTTTTTTTTGTATTTTCTCCTGTTTGTTCGGTTTTCTAAAAAAACTTACGTTTAGACATTAGGAAAACAATGTCTGAGTTAATTTTCTGAAACAGTTTTTACTAGATTAGCTTTTTGCCGGTTCCTTTTTGAGTACTGGGAGGTATTGAATCATGGCAAGTCTTGTAATATTACCAAAGTTGCGCAGATTTTCAACGGTAGTGCTGTATGGTTTAGTTTCGTTCTTGTTTTCTGTAGCCATTAGCAGTTGTTTGTAAGTTGCTGAAAGTCCCATTCTTCTTTTGGTTTCCTAATAACAATAGTTCTTAGAGTAGGAACTGAATTGACTAAAATTTCAACTTTGTTTGGTTTTTGCTTACGCAGGCTGTTGAGGGGTTTGGTAAATAATAAATTTTGGCATATTTGAGAAGTTTATTCGAGAGTTCAACTGTTTGGGTAAATTCCATTTGATGAGCGTCAGTCGCAGTGTGTGGAGAAAGTGAGAGTGAGGAGGGAGAAGGGAGGTTATTTTTTGCTTGTAATATTGATGGTATTTAGGGCGCACCAAAAATTTGAGCAGGACTTCACTTACAGTATAATTCGTTAGCCAAAAATAAATACAGTGCTTTCGTCGTTGTTTGCTTGTCTTTTGAAAGATTTGCTCTCTTAATTTTTCCGAAATATTCTTTTTCTTTTAGACAAGGAGTTTTGCCACCATCACAGGTCTTTTTTATTTTTCAGTACCTTATATCACTATTTCTGAACGTTGAGAGAAGAGAGTGGTTGTTGTCAATTTTTTTTGTTTTGCTTACACTTAGCTGTATAGTCGCTCTGTAGAGCGATTTTATCGACGTTTATTTTCACCTCCGCCGTCACTGATCTACAAAGTAAACACTACACTGCCAGCGGCATGAAAAACATAAGACGAAAATGTGTTTGCAAAGCACTGTTCTTGTTAGACTTAAAAAAGAATGTTGAAAGTATGTGACATTCTGGCGTGTTCAAAAGTGTGCTTTTCGGACACTTCTGAGTCGATAACTAACTGGTACTCTGGGAGTTTTTCTTAGTCTTATGATTTGTAAACATTGATGGCGCCTCTTCAGTGTGAGGCTTTAATGGAGGTGTTTTTTGCTGTTACTGCAGTCTACTGTTGTGATCTGCG